CCTCCCCTTACCTGGATCCCTGCCACTGCCTCCCCATATATACATAAACATATAAAGAAAATGTTATGATATAGAAAATAATCACATTCTACTGATAAGTGTTTAGAATTTATAAAAATATATACAAGAGAACTAACAGCTGTAAGATAGGTATCTTAAAAAATATGAAGTTATTTTTTTCTTTTTTAAACAACTTGATGACTTGACGTGCTTCACTATATTCATAGGAGATTTGGACATGGAGGGAGAACTTTGGAAATAATTTAATAAAGCTTATAACAGAAACTGAGCAAATGAAGGCTCAAGATACCTTAATTCCAGGGAAAATAAAAAGTTGATTGAAGAAAGGAAAAGTAATCATATTCTACTAAATGCTCAGTTGTAAATGGTGTTTTTATCATCATAATAATGTAAACAGGAGCTCTGGTGGTGCAGTGTTTAAGTACGGCTGCTAACGTAAAGGTACACATGTTGAACCCACCCTGGAATGCATACAATGCATTTTCTTTTTCTTCAATAAAGACTCAACCCAGCACTGTGTATGGGCTTTAAACAACAGGCAGAGAGTTCAATGTTCACAAGAGTTGGACATCAACTGCCTCAATTTATAGCTGTGGTAGTTTGTCAACAGGGGTATCAAATTTGAAGTCTGTAGGAAACAAATCTGGGGCTCAAGGATAGATTAGTCTGCAGGACTGTCTGATTGTAACATCAGCAACACCAGCAATGTCTCAAATTTCTTTCTGGGTCCTCTTCTCAGCTGAGGCCTGCGAAGCCATGTAAATAGCTGCCATGGCTACAGATATCGGGCTCCTCCCTGGCACCAAATCCAGTTCCACAGCTTTACGGGCTATATGTATAGCTGCTATCTGTACTTGTTCAGGAAGACACAGGTTTGAGCAGAACCTGGACATGAAAAAGAAGAAAAATAAACTTTTTTTTAAGATACCTATCTCACAGCCTTTAGTTCTGCCACAAGAACTGGATGCCTGTCACCTGGGACAGGTTGACACCCTGGATCACCTCACTTCATCCTGCGTATCCTTTGTCTCTCTCTTATACTGGGTCTCCTATTCCCTGGATCCTTTGTGTGCCTCCTCCCCACCCCCTTTATTTTGCCTCCCTCATTTTTGGTTTCAATTTCCTCTAGTATTATCCTGAAAAGCGGAACATGGAAGGCAAAATGTTAAAATTCTAACCATCTGAAAATGTCTTTAGGCTGTCCTAGTACTTATTCATATGTTGACTTGAACATTTTTTTCCTTGAAATTTGGAAGCAATTGTTTCCATATCTTTTAACTTTAAGATGTTCTTTTTTGTTGTCTCTGGACATTTTCAGGATCTTGTCTACTGTCTTCCTAAAATGTCATTGTGATGCATTCTTAGTTTGGGTCTATGTTCATTAACTAGTGAAGAATTTGTCCACTTTTGTCTGTAAATGCTAACATAGTTTCTTGAATTATTTTAAATTATTTTCTATATCTATTCTTGTTGAAACTTGTATTATAAGGTTGCTAAAATTCCTTAATAGATAGTCTAATGTATTTATAGTTCTTCTCTTCTGTTCACATGTTTCTCTTTAGTACTATCTTATGGAAGTATAGAGGAGCTCTGATGTCACTGGTTTGAGTATTGGGCTGCTAACCAAAAGGTTGGTGGTTCAAACCCACCAGCTGCTCTGTGGGATAAAGATGAGGCTGTCTGGTTTTACTGCCTTTGAGTCCCTATGGGACAGGGTCACTAACAGTTGGAATTGACTGGATGGCAGTGAGTTTGGATTTTTGGTTTTGTGGAAGTATGACTTTTATCGCCCAGTTCATCTACTGATTCTTTACATCTGTGATCATATGTCTAATTCCCAAAAACTATTAATTATTCTATGATTGTATATATTTGTATATAATTTTGTTCTTATTTCATAATCTTCATGTGTCTTGATATAATATGAGAAGTATTTATAGATCTGTGAGTTTGTAATTACCATACAAAGCTTTCAATTTGCATATAGTCAAAACTTCTATCAGCTCATCAATTTTTTTATGGTTTTTCATCTTGGGTCATGGTTAGAGAATCATACTCTTCACAATTCTATAAATTTCCCATATATCTTCATCTAGGTACAAATGATCTGGAGAGAGGGATCTGAGTGTTAAGGAAAATAAAATTCTTTGAACTTTGGAGAAAAGAGAGAAATAGGTAAACAGGTAAGGTATTTTGAGCTGGTGCAATTCCAAGTTTTGAATCTCTTGTTTCATAATTTTAAATATATATATACGATCTACAAGGCATTTGATATGTGTGGTAGGTAACAATAAACACTTTCCCATGAATAAGTAAAGATTTACTTCCTCCTATGATTAAAGAAAACAATAACATCAAGAGTCTTAGGAAATACAAACAAGGATTGGTACTGGTGATGTGCATTTTTGAACATTTATAATCTTGCAGTGATAAATCATGCTTGTACACTTTAATTGTTAAATACCTATTAATTAAACTTTTATGGACACTCCAACACATGTCTAAGGTCCACATCAACAAATCCATGGCTTTTCATAAAGACAATTTTAAAATACTTCAATCTATGAATCTCCAGTATCTTTTGGGGGGCACATTGAAAATTCAGGACACTCTGCATATGTACTGTCAAATATGTTAGCTACTAGCCAGGTGTGGCCATTTAAATTAATTAAGATTATAACTTCAACTGCTCAGTTGCACTAGCCACATTTCAAGTACTCAATAGCCACACACATGGCCAGTGGCTACTGTATTCAACAGCACAGATATACAATCCTTTCATAACAGAAAGTTCTGACACGATTGCTCTTGATGGTTTATGGACTTCAAGTCAGGTGCCATAGACTCATTTATATGAATTTATTATTTCTCACACAGATTATATCAGGTTTCCAACTGTCTGGGATATGGATATTCATTAAGCTGGTGTGTAACAAAACCAAAACACAAACTGAGGGAATCTCTCTCTGATACCTTCAGACATAAATGTTCTCAATTCCAAAAGGCAAATAGTGTTCCCTTCACCTCAGTTTTCTGACTGAGGCACTGAATTTCAATGAAGTAAATTCTCTTCTGGAAGAGCCCATGGGAAGAAACCTAAGATAAGCTTTAGAAGGCAGAGTCCAGCTCAGAGAGAAGGATTCTGGGAAGTGAAGAGGATGTAAAGAGGCAGGGCCAATAGGGGATTCCCTGGTTTACTCAGAACAGCAGTTCTCTGTGGAGTCACTGAGATTCTTTTGCAAGATCCATGAAGTCAAAACTATTTTTACAACATGACTAAGAAATTAATAGTCTTTCTTACTGTGTTGATATTTGCACTGAGGTAAATCAACTGAGAACTTAGCAAGAATTGAGGCTATCTCATCAAACTGAAATAGTAATTGAATTCTTAATCATCCCTTGTATTTGCAGGACAAACAAAAATAAAAACAAAACCAATTTATCTTAAAGATGTACTGATTGAAGCATTAAAAATTGTTAAATTTACTAAATCACCATCCTCATATCCACATCCTTTAATATCCTGTGAGATGCGGTGGGGAGAATATATAAAGCACTTCCCCATTCCATAGTATGATGTTTGTCTCAAGGAAAATAATTTGTGTGAGTAGAACTAGCCTCTTTTTTATGGGACATCATTTTTACTTAAAAGAATGAACGACAGAAAAACTCTTGGATATTTGGCACTTCCTCAAAAATGACAACTAGTAGGATTGCCACTTCATGGAAACCAACTGACAATGATAAAATGGAACCTGTCAAGAGATTACAATATTAGAAAACTTGTATGCACCACAAGTTAGATAGCTTTCCAAAATTTACACTTTTTTTCCTGCTCTGATCAGTGGTAATACTAACAATTGTGACTTTCAGACATCTTGTAGTGCAATTTGTCAACATTAGAAGATCTGCACACTTGGTGAACTAATGCAAAACTAAAAAAAAAAAAAAAAAAAACTTATGCATCAATACAAGATTCATCCAAAATGCAAGATGTATGTATGAGTTCTAACAAACAGAATATGAAATAATCCTTTATAGGGATTCTGACTGAAGCTAGCCTTTAAGAAACTACCACTTTGTAGCTTTACTAAAGTATCAAAGATGAACATTCACAATTACTTGGAAAAGCTATTAAAAATGCTTCTCCCTTTTCCAACTTCATATTTTTTGTGATACTCCTTTCTTTTTTTTTTGTATAGACCTCAAAAAATCACAGAATAATTGCAGAAACAGATATGAAAACCTAGAAATCTTCTTTTGACACAGAAGACTTACTATTGAAAGTAATGGCCCAAAATGTAAAATCTTCTCTCTACATTATTTTAGTTTGGAAAATATTTGTTTTTCATTAAAATATTATCAGTTAACATTTAAGCAATTAAAAATTTTTAAATCTGTTTCCACGTCTCATGTGGTTAATATCGGTAGAAATAACTCACATAAACAAAATCTCTTTGGGTCTCTCATAATTTGTTAACGTGAATAGAAATTCCAAGGAGCCTGGTGGTGCAATGGTTGGTTACACTCTTGGCTGCTAATCCAAAGGCCTGTGGTTGGAATTTACCAGCTGCTCTGCAGGTGATCTTCTCCTTTAAAGATTATAGCCTAAGAAACCCTGTGGTGCAATTCTGCTGTTTTATAAAGGTGGTCTAAATCCACTCCATGGCACACCACAGGGACTTTGAAAGGAACAACCTTCTCCAATTTAAGCAGTTCCTGGCCCAGGACAAGACTGTGTGAATGAAGTCTGTATCCGGGGCTGTGTCAGAAGCGAACTCTATCCCTGAGTTTAACTTCTCCTTTCAAACCTGTGTCACCTTCTTTTGCCTGGACACACATGACGCAAAGTTACTTCTCAACGACAATTGGGTGACAGATTTCTGGGGAAGCCAATCACGGTAACCGCAGTTCCTGATCCTAAGTTCCGCTTGGATCCGCAGTTAGCAGATCGTCGGTAGAAATCCAGCACCTGGGTCATGATACCCCGGACCCTCCTCCTGCTGCTCTCCGGGGCTCTGGCTCTGACCGGAACCAGGGCAGGTGAGTGCGGGGTCGGGAGGGAAAGAGTATCTGTGGAGGAGGGAGTAAGGGGACCTCCGGGTGGGGACACTGGACCTAAGTGAAGCCTCATCTACACCGTCCCCGGCCCAAAGCAGCCTGGAGCCCATTCCGTCCATAATCACCCCTCCCCCGCGTGTCCCGCCCCCTCCTATCCCCACCGCTCTATCCAGGCCCTGCCCCTCCGGTCGCCCCTTCTGGGTCTATGAGTCTCCTCCTTACTCCTCAGCGCCCCTCCCTGAACCCGGGACGCCACGCGGGGAGAAGGGTCAGTGGTCTCAGCCTCTCCCTGCCTCCAGGTCCCCACTCACTGAGGTTTTTCCTCACCGCCGTGTCCCGGCCGGGCCAAGGGGAGCCCCGCTTCATCGCAGTTGGTTACGTGGACGACACACAGATCGGGCGGTTCGACAGCGATGTTGAGAATCCCAGGGCTGAGCCTCGGGCATCCTGGATGCAGCTCATGGAGTCTGATTTTTGGGATGAGAGTACTCGGATTGCCAAAGTCCGCGAACAGAATTACCGAGTGCACTTGAAGAACCTGCTTAGCTACTACAACCAGAGTGATTCAGGTGAGTAATGACAGGCCCAGGTCGCAGGTCAGGAGGTCCGTCCCCCACAGTGAGTGGCCAGGGTCTCCAGGTCTGAAGTTCACCCCGAGGCCTCTGGACCTGCAGGACCCTTAGACCAAGGAAGAGCCTTGGGCTTTCATTCCAGTTTCATTTTCAGTTTACAACCAAATGACCTCTGACCAAGGATCTCTGGTTGCATAGTGGATAAAGCATTTGGCTGCTAACCAAAAGGTGGGTGATTCCAACCCACCAGCCACTCTGCAGAAAAAGATGAGGAAGATTGCGTCCATAAAGATTTACAGCCTCTGAAACCTAATTAAGCAGTTCTACTGTAGGGAGTTCTGGTAGCATAGTGGCTAAGTCACTTCCCTGCTAACCAGAAGGCTGGCGATTCAAACCCACCAGCCACTCCTCGGAAGGAAGGTTGGGCAATCCTACTTCCCTAGTGATACTGCCTCGGAAACCCAAGGAGGGGTCGCTATGAGTCGGGTTTGACTCGACGGCACATAACAACAACAACAAGAACAACACTGTATCCTAAATAGGGTCGCTATTACTGGTTGGCAGTGTGTTTGGTTTGTTTTGGTGGGGCTCTGACCAGTCACAGCCAGTGGGAGGCATGGCTGACCACCAAGGCTGGGCTGACAGCAGGGGCTGGGCCAGGGTCTCACACCTACCAGGGTATGTATGGCTGCGACATCGGGCCCGACGGGCGTCTCCTTCGTGGGTACAATCAGCGAGCATATGATGGTGCCGATTACATCTCCCTGAACGAGGACATGCGTTCCTGGACTGCCGCAGACACCACAGCTCAGATCACCAAGCGCAAGTGGGATGAAGCCGGTTCCGCAGAGTACTACAGGGCCTACTTTGTGGAGGGCAGGTTCCTGGAGTGGCTTCACAGATACCTGGAGAAAGGGAAAGAGACTCTGCTTCGCACAGGTAGGAGGGGCCCTAGGGTACTTCCCTGAACTCCCTTGGAACTAGGACTATTTCTGCTCTCCTGGCCTCTCAAAAGGAAGGGAGGAAAGTAGGATAGATGTCAGGATACCCCTCCCATGAGGGTGGAGAGTGAGGAGTTAGCCCAGATTTCCAGATCCTATACCAGAGAGCAACTTGCCCAGTGGAGCCCTCCTTTCTCTCAGAGACAGTTAAGGGATCCACTCTCTCTGGGGATAATAGGGAAGGTGGTTCCTGAATGATTAGCAGTATCCTTTAATCCTGAAATCCACCTTGATCCTGAAATCTACCTTAAGAACCACCAGGGGCTCTCCTTGATAAACTTTGTTCTCTGCCCCATACCCAATGAATTTGAAGGTCTGATTCCAGTTTTTCAGAGTTTCTCACCCACTCAAGTCAAAACTAGAAATCCCTCCTCTCCCCTCAGATACCCAGAACATCCTATTCTGGGCTGCCTCACCCTGATTTTTATAACTTTACAAGGAATAGATTGTCCCAGATCCCTGTAACAGGCTGGGGTCTGGGTTTTGCATGCTCTCCCCTCCCCCAATTGCCCTGTCCATTCTCAAGATGATCACATGAATCCTGCTCAGGTGGCCTATGGGAGGTAATGAAAGTTCTTATATCTTCTCTTTCCCTCAGAACCCCCAAAGACACATGTGGCTCACCATCCCATTTCTGAACAAGAGGTCACACTGAGGTGCTGGGCCCTGGGCTTCTACCCGGCGGAGATCACCCTGACCTGGCAGCGGGACGGGGAAGAGCTGACCCAGGACACAGAGCTTGTGGAGACCAGACCTACAGGGGACGGGAACTTCCAGAAGTGGGCAGCTGTGGTGGTACCCCCTGGAGAGGAGCAGAAATACACATGTCATGTGCAGCACGAGGGACTGCCCAAGCCCCTCACCCTGAGATGGGGTAAGGAGGCTGATGAGGGTGGAGTCTCCTCTCAGGGATAGCAAGAGGCCTTCTGGCCAATTGCAGCAATGTCAGGCCCTCTCACCTCTCCTCCCTGTCCTAGAGCCCCGTTCTCAGTCTGACATCACCATCGTGGCAATCATTGTTGGCCTGGTTCTCCTTGTGGCCATTGGAGCTGTGGTGGCTGGAGTTTTTTTCTGGTGGAAGAAGAGCTCAGGTATAGAAGGGGGTGGGGTCCGAGTTTTCTTGTCCCAGTGGATGGTTTCAAGTCCCAGGCAGGTGATTTGCCTTGCAGTCTCTGCCTCATTGGGCAAGGCACCATCCCCACGTGTGCTGGCCCAGTCTTGGGCCCTGCGTGCTAAAAACTGCTTTTCTGTAAAGCACATGTGATAGTGAAGGGTAAATCTTCACCTTAGTGGCTCTACTGATGGAGACCTGATTCTCAGTTGTCACAGGGGAAATTCCTACTGAGAAGAGATTCCAAGGAGGGTGGTTGGTCCAGTAACTGTACATCTTTCCTTGTGTTTCCTTATCCTGCTCTGGGTCTGCAGTCCCAGTCTGGTAACTTCCCTGATCTCCAGGACTACCCAGCTTTTCTGGGATCTCAAGGTCCTGCCTCCTCCCAATCTCTCACAGAATGCTTTTTCCCCACAGGTAGAAAAGAAAAGGGCTACAATCCAGCTATAAGTAAGTATGAAGGGAGGGAGGCTGATCCTGAGACCCTTAGGATAGTGTAGATGGGTATCTACGGGGGCACCCTCTCACCCCATGATTCACATTCTCCTAGTTTCATCTCCTGTGAGCTCTGACCAGATCCTGTTTTTGTACTTTTCCAGGCATTGATAGTGGTAGTCCCCTGGGCTCTGATGTTTCTCTCCCAGTTTCTAATGGTAAGACTCTTGGCGGGGGGGGGATTGACATGGGAGAAGGGTTGGGGCAGAGGGGACACAACCAGATTATGGGAATTCTTTGGATTTGCACATTTTCAGAGTGTCAACACTTGTAGTGACTGATCTGAATTTCTTCACAATTCTTTTCTTCTGCAGCTTGACATTGTTGCCTTGTGTGGGACTGAGTGACACAAGATTTGATCATATCATATTCCATTTTGTGATTCAAGAACCTCTGACTTCTCTTTCTGAAACTGATATCTGAATGTGCCTGTGTTCCTATCAATATTAGGTGAGGATACAGTAGAACTAACCCAGCTCTACACACCAGTGAACTCCTCCAAAACTATCCCCTACCTATGTTCCAGTTCCAGCAAACATGTGGCTAGAACATCTTTTTTATGGATTGAATTATGTCCCTAAAAAATGTGTAAATCATAACTCTATGCCTGTGGCTATAATCCTATTTGAGAATGGTTGTGGTTTATGTTAATGAGGCTGGATTAGTGTAGGGTGTGTCTTGAGTCAATGTCTTTTGAGACATAAAGGAGATTACACAGGCAACTGAGTGAGCAGAGATGGGGGAAGATGTGTAATCTGCTAGGAACCAGGAGGCAGAAGCTGAGAAGACTAGGACCTTCATCCAGGGCCAACAGGGAGAGAAAGCCTTCTGCTAGGACCAGTGCACTGAATTCAGACTTTCTAGTCTCCTAAACTAGCCTAAGGCACTTGGCTGCTAACCAGAAGGCTGGTGGTTCAAACCCACCAGCCACTCCTCAGAAGAAGATGGGGCAATCTACCTCTGTAGTGATACTGCCTCGGAAACCCAAGGAGGGGTCGCTGTGAGTTGAGTCCGACTCGACAGCACATAACAACAGTCTCCTAAACAGTGAAAAATAAATTTTTTTTATTAAAGTCATTGTGGTGGTTAAGTTTGTGTGTCAACTTGGCTAGACCTCGTTGAGTGGCTGAGCAGCTGGATGTAGTATTCCCCATAATGAGACTGGCAATCAACTCCATGGTGGACTCTACTGTGAGCAGCTGAGTATCTGCATTTGGGTATGTGGTCTGCTTCCCGTATATAAGAAACAGCTTTGGAAATGGTCCCTAGTATTAAGGCATGCTTGAACCCTGCATGTAGCCGAGTCATTGTTCAGCAGCCTGCCATACTCTGCGAACCTGGGACTTTCAATGGACTTGAATCCATGGCCTTCCTTGTGGTTTGGTAACGTCAAGACTGTGCCATTTTATTTGTTAACCTTGGGCTTGTTAGCTTCAACTTCAGTAGCTGCCTGAGTGAAGAGATGCCTCTAGCTTCAGTGGGCCAGGAGCAAGAGACAGAGCTGAAGCCCAAGGTCGAGGGGCTTTCACACAGCCCCTAAGGCCGGGTGCTTTGAACTGGGACTCCCGAACTGTGAGTGAATAAACTCCTGTTTGTTCAAGCCATCCCATTTGTAGTACATTCTTGTCAGAGCAGCACTAGGTAACCAGAACAGTCATCCACTTGTGGTATTTCTGTTATAACAACTCTAGATAACTAAGACAATGAAAGACTGTTTTTCTACAGATAGATTGATGACGTAGAAGGTATTTTCTACAAATGTAAATTTGTAAGTTAAATAGCAAGAAAATCTAATTTAATTAATCAAATTAATACAATATAATCTAATTTCAATATAAATAAAACATAAAACCTCCCACTGCAGCGTCTGTGTCATTGCCTAGTTTTCTTCCCATTCCTGTCAGACTGAGGCTTCTGTCCTGAGAAAATCCCCTGTGCAGTTTCACCACTCCCTCACCCACATGACTTCGGTTCAAACTTCTCTCTTCTCTATGTTGCTTAATTATAGTCTCTGCATCTCAGGGTCCCCAGCCCCCAGTTTTGGAGGGAAGTGAAGCCTCTCTCCTCAGTGAATGGATTGATACAATGGCTGCACAGTGGGCTCAAGCACAGCAACGATCGTGAGGACCGTGCCGACCTGGACCGTGTTCTGTTCTGTTGTATATGAGGTTGATATGAGTTGAAATCAACTCAACAGCACTAACAACAACATCCCCACGTAACACTGAATTCTGATAGAAAGAAAAGATCAGTATCTTTTTTTGCTGGAAAAGGGGAGTTGTGGTTTTTAGGTACCAATGAGACAATTTCATCTCACTTTGACCCAATGTGAGAGAGAATCATTATCGAATATTAACCCTGATTTAAGTTAGGTATTGCGAGGTGAGAGGCTTGATAGATGGAGTTTGATTTGATCTTTTTGTACAACCCTATGTACTGTGACCTCTCTGAAAGCTGCATGCCATATAATGTGTGAATAAATTGGAATCTTTCAATATGAATATAATGTGATTATAAATTAAAGCACTGAAACAAGTCTTTAAAAATTGACCTAGGGGTACAGTTTGCATTATTGACTATTTCCATTAAATAAAGTATATAGTATTTCACATCATAATCTAGGTCACATAAGCATACACATGCTCACACCTGTAATGAAAATAAATATAATAACTCAAAATAGCATGGAACTATTAAAATGGATATGATACATTACAAATTATAGGATGTAAAAAACTAACATACACCATAATGTGATTGTAAGCACAAATGCCTATTATCACCGGCCTGTAAAATCAAGTACCATTTGCGATATTTTTTCAAATATTGAACATGTTGCCATGCTTCCTTTTTTTTTCTTCTTTTACTTTTATTGTGGTGACAACATACACAACAAGATGTTTGCCAACATAACAGCCTCCACATTCATAGCTGGGATATTGATGATATTTATCAGGTTGTGCCATTATTCTTGCTATCCTTTCCCAAATATTCTACCACCATTAGGATACACTCAATGCCCTGCAAACAATAGCTTCCCCTTTCCCTCTCCCTCCTACCCCTGGTAATCAGTAATAGTCTTTGATTTATTTGTAAACCTATCTAAGAATTTTTCCAACCCTCCCCTCCAACCCTGGTAACCAACAAAGAAAATTTCCTTCCATGTATAAACCTTTCCTTGACATTTTACAATAGTAGACAAATACAATATATGTTCTTCTGTGATGGACTTATTTCACTCAGCATAATGTCCTCCAAGTTCATTCATGTTATGCAGTGTCTTGCAGATTCTCCATTATTCTTGAGAGTTGTATAGTATTCCATTATGTGTGTGTACCACAGTTTGTTTATCCAATTCTCAGCTGATAGGCACTTAGGTTGTTTCTATCTCTTTGCTATTGTGAATAGTGTTGTGATGAACATGGGTGTGCAATATTCTTGTCCTGTCTCTCACTTCTTTAGGATATATACCTAGTAATGGGCTTGCGAGGTAAAATGGTATTTCTATTTCCAATTTTTTAAGGAACCACCATATTGATTTCCACAGTGGATGTATTTTACAGTCCAAACTTACAGTGCATCACAATCTCAATCTCTCCACATCTTCACCAGCATTTGTTATTTTCTGTCTTGTTGAACTTTGCTATTAGTGCTGAGGTGAGATGGTATCTCCTGTTTGTTTTGATTTGCATCTCACTAATGGCTAATGATTGTGAACATTTCTTCATGTATTTGTTGGCTGCCTGAATATCATGAACAGAAATGTCTGTTCATGTCTTCTGCTCATTTTTTAATTGGAGTTTTTGTCTTTTTTGATGTTAAGGTGGTAGAGTTTCAATAAATTTTAGAGATAAGTCTTTTGTCACATAAGTCATTGCAAGATATTTTTTCAAAATCTGTAGGTTCTCTTTTTACTTTTTTTGGAGAAGTATTCTGATGCACATAAAAATTTAATTTTTAGAATTTTCTGCCATATTTTAGGGCCCCTAAGAAGAGAGCTCTGGTGACATAGTGCCTAAGGCATTTGAATGCTAACCAGAGGCTAGCAGTTCAAACCCACCAGCCGCTCCTCAGAAGGAAGATTGGGCAACCTACTTCCATAGAGACACTGCCTTGGAAACCAAAGAGAGGTCACTATGACTTGGGATCAACTCGATGGCAGTGAGTTTGGTGTAAGTTTGCCCCTATTTTTCTTCAGTGAACTTAATGGTTTCAGGTTTCACATTTAAGTCTTGGTCCATCTTGAATTCTTTTTGATGTGTATGGTATGAGGTATGGCTCTTGTTTCAATTTTCTGTAAATGGTTATCCAGTTTTGCCAGCATCAATTGTTAAAGAAACTATCTCTTCCTCATTTAATGGATTTTGGCCCTTTATCAAAGATCAGCTAACCATAGGTCAATGGATCTATTTCTGGGTTCTCAATTCTGTTTCACTGGTCTATGTGTCTGACATTGTAACAATCGATACCAGCTGTATTGACAGCTGTGGCTGTATAGTAGGTTTTGAAATTTGGGAGTGTAAGTCCTCCAGCTTTGTCCTCCTTCAGTAGTGCTTTGCTAATCTGAGGGCTTTTTCCTTTCCATATAAAATTAGTGATTGGTTTTACCATGTCCTTAAACAATGTTGATACAATCTGAATTGAGATTGTACTGAATGTATAGATTGCTTTAGGTAGTAGAGACATTTTCACAATGTTCAATCTTCCTATCCATGGCATGGTATGCTCTTCGATTTATATAGATCTCTTATAGTTCTTGAAGTAGCATTTTGTAGTTTTCTTTGTATAGGTCTTTTGTGTTCCTGATAAGATTTATTCCTAAATAATACCTTTTTGCTAGCTATTGTAGATGGTATTGATTTCCTTATTTCCTTTTCAGAGACCTCTTTGCTGGTGTAGAGGAATCCAACTGATTTTTGTATGTTGACCTTGTATCCTGCCACTATGCTAAATCTCTCCATAAGTTTCAATAGTTTACTTGCTGAATATTCTTGGGTTTTCTACATATAGGATCATATCATCTGCAAATAGGGATAGTTGTACTTTTTCCTTATCAATATGGAAGGCTTTAATTTCTTTCTTGCCTTATTGTCCTGGCTAGGACTTCCACTGCATTGTTGAATAGAAGTGGAGATAGAAGGCATCTTTGTCTCATTCTTGTTCACAAAGGAAATAGTTTCAGTCTCTCTCCATTGAGAATAATGTTGACTGTTGGTTTTGCATATATGCCCTTTGTTATGTTGAGGAATTTCCCTTGTATACCTATGTTTCTCATAGTTTTTATCAGGAATGAGTGTTGAATTTTATCAAATGCCTTTTCTGGATCTTTTGATAGGATCATGTGATT